CAGGTTTTATTTATTAACCAATCAGAGCAACTTGACATACAGACCATCCCCCAGCACAGCCAAGTGCAGACCATCTCAAACACCTGCACTCAGGCCCATGGTCCTAATCATCCTCTATACGGACCTGCTGGGTAACGTCACAAAGAACCTGAGAATGGGCTCCCACAGGACCTACAGAACATCCCACAGCAGGCCCTTGTTTTCTACACGTTTGTAGTAGGGCTTCTTCTTTGCTGGTATGTAATATTCACTGGGTTACCTGGCCCACGAGCCTCTGAGATTCTTGTATTTCTGCTACCCACTTTGCTGTAGGAGTACTGAGATTACAGCGCATTCTGTCGTGTCTATTCAAACTCATATATTCACACTTTCTTGTCAAGTACTTTACTATCCCCCAGCCCTCTATATTGCAGCTGAACTGAGAAAACAAATGACTCTATGAAGTGTTTAGGAGTAACCATATAGCTGATATATTTAGAAGTAATTGCTTACGCATGTACTTTGAAATAGTATCTTCAAATATGACTTATATTTGAAACTAATCTTCAAAACAGCCTTTATTTTATTTCTTTTTATTTATTCTCCTCTCATACAGTACACCCTGACTGCAGGCCCTCTCCCTCCTTTCCTCGCTGTTCTTCTGTACCTGCCCTCTCCCCCAGATACACTACTCTTCCGTTTCCCTTCAGAAAAAAGCAAGCCTCCCAAGGATATCAAATGAACAAAGCATAATAAGATGTAATAAGACTAGGTACATACTGTCTTATCAAGACTGAACAAGGCAACCCCAGTAGGAGGAAAGCGCTACCAAGAAGGAGGAAAGGGTTACCAATAGCAGACAAAATTCAGAGACAGCCCCTGCTCCCACTGTTAGGAGTCCCACAAAAAATCCTAGCTAGAGAAACACAGCATGTACGCAGAGAGCCTGGTGCAGACCCATGCAGGCTCCGTGGTTGCTGCTTCAGTCTTTGTGAGCCCCTGTGAGCCCTGGTTAGCTGATTCTGTGGCCTGTGTTCGGGTGTACTTGACCCCTCTGGCGACTACAGTCCTTCTCCCTCTCATGCGTGATTCCTTGAGCTCTGCCTTAATGCATGGATGTGGGTCTCTGCATCTACTCCCATCAGCTGCTGGAGGAAGCCTCTCTGAAGATGACTGGGCTAGGCACAGATCTATGCTTACAGCAGAATATCATTAAGAATCATTTCATTCACTTCTTTTTCTTTTTGGTCAGTTATTTTTGGTTCTACGCCAGGTCTCTGGGCCATAGGAAGCTAGATGGTCCCAAACAGCATTTGTAATGGTTGTATTGGTGTGTGTGTGTGGGGGGGCATTTTAAAGTTTGTGCTATCAAAATATGTAGAAGTACATATTTAAACTAGATCTGAAAACTGCAGATTTAGCTTTTAAGTAACTATTAGTAGCATAAATATCATAATGTTCTATACTCTGTAATTAATATAGTTATTGCAATTTATAATACTAACCAACCTGTGCTAAAGTACATAATTTACATGTGAAATTTTGCTCACTCTCAAACAAATTTATTATGGTTTCATTTGATACATGAGAAAAGTAACGTATATAGTTGCATGATTACCTGACAGCATGTGATTAGGAAAATAACATTTCTTTAAATTATGTGGTATGTTACTGAATACAAAGTATTCCAGATTTCTGTTTTGCCTTGGATGAATTTATATTATTATGCTCCTTTTAGATTTGTAGAAATAGACTTCTCGAAAATTTAAAGGATTTATTTAGTCATCCACTTGGAAGAGCCAGAATGAGCTGAGGCCACCAGAGTGTTGTTGGGGACATAAAGAAAGATTGCCCATTCATTAAGACTCTCCGCTGCATGTTAGTCTACAAACTGATTTTATCCCAATTGAAATCAATTGGTTAGTTATAGATATTACATTCTGCAGGTAGTTAAATGGGCACACAAAGAATTGTGAGTCACTCCAAGTCTTGAGGTAAGGACTCACGGATTCTGCCTGCCAGTTCATCTCCTGTCCTCTAACTCATCAGTTTAGGATCAGCAACATATGTGATGCAATAATATATAAATAAATGAAGGATATTGATAAACTGAACTCTAGTGTAGCTGCAGTTTGGTTGCAGGAAATAATATAGAAACTGAGAGTCTAAAGAGATCTGGGGATTTATAATAATCTGTAATTTGTTCTGTGTTTTCCTGGCTTCTCATTCCATGTTGACCTTAACATTATCTCAATGTTTTATAATAGCTTTTCCAATTTGCAGTCAGTAATTTCTTTCATCTTTCAACCTTCCCTCCCTCTGGATGTCCCTGTTAATAATTGAGCATCCTATGTGATAAACAATGAGTATGCACAGATGCAGTATGCACAGTGAATGCTCATGCTCTTATTCTTCCCCGGAATCCATTTCTGAATGTGGAGTTTGTTGTTGCTGTTTTGTCATAGGACAGAAGCCTTGTCACCCTTGGCTCAGCTTCTAGTTCTAAGTGGTCAGAGTTAAACCCTACTGGCAGATTTCATGCCTAACAGACTGACCAAGTGGACTCTTCCTTTTCTAGTACTTCCCTTGGCTGGGTTGCTGAAGCATTGTGCTAGCTAACTTTATGTCAACTTGACACAAGCTAGAGTTATCTGAGAGGAGATAACCACTATACAGAAAATCCCTTCACAAGATCTGGCTGTAGGACATTTTCTTAACTCGTGATTGATATGGGAGAACACAGCCTATTGTGAGTGGTGCTTTTCCTGAGCTGGTGGTTCTGAGTTCTGTGAGAAAGCATCATGTAGGTCATGATGAGCAAGTCAGCCCCTCAATGGGCTCTGCATCAGCTCCTGCCTCCATGTCCTCCCCCTTGCTTGAATTCCTGTCCTGGCTCCTTTTTCTGATGGACTATATATAGTGTGGAAGTGTAAACCACATAAACACTTTCTTCCCCAATTTGATTTTGGTCATGGTTTTTCATCATAGCAATGGTACCCTGACCATTCACCTGAGAACTTAAAGTGACTCACGCCAGATTTTCTTAGCAGCCATGTGCACTTTGCCTCCTGGTCTGAGCTTGCTGACCTCCATGTGCATTGTCACCTGGCCTGGTGTATATGGTCCAGGTCTGGAAGGACCAAATAGTTTTCAGCTTACACCTACTAGTAGTGCCACCAAAGCTCTGACATCCCAGCTCTTTGCAGCATACGACCTGCTGGGATCTATGCAGCTAAATGCCCTTTAATGGTCCTCTGTGTCACTTCTGCTTGCTGCTGGGGTCAGCAGCCTTTAGCTGTGTTGTGAGGGAAATTCAATGTATTTCATTAAGGACAATAGGGGCAATATAATTCGCTCAAAGCATCCATAATTCCCAAAGGCAGTAATTGTAAACAAGCAATTAAAATATTGTTATAAGAATGTAAATGAAGCATAGATATCAATAGTATGGAAAGTGTATATAATAAATGTAGCTAAAGGAGGTTCAATATTTACCTAAGGAGAAGAACCTTTTGTGAGCTATTAGAGGATTATTAGTACGACTTTGCTGGTTGCAGGGGGCAGGTGTCTATCTTCAGAAAGGCAACCATTTGTCCTATGAGTCATCACTGAGGAGGATTGTAATGGACTGGGTTTGTTTGCCTGTATCACTGGATCTTTGCCTATATTTGTCAAGAAAGTACACTGGCATGATGAAAAGGGACTGCTAAGTGCCACACCAGGTACTTTGAAAGTCACCCAGTGCCAGGCTCAAGCCCATCTTTGTCCTGCCTTGGTTGGACGATTGCCCACCAGCCAGATCTGGAGAAGGGGAATGGGTAGGGCACAGGCAGGACCAAAGGCAGATCCCACGCTGTCCATGAGTGTTTTAGGGAAAAGACACCTCGGAGGCTGTGTCAGTGGATAGCTCACTTATTCAGAGGGAGCAAGGGACATTTATATGCTAGGAGGAGTGTCCGGTTGGATCCATGTGATGGTATGTCATTGGTTGGGGCAAGAACATTGAGGGAATGTCCTTTGCATACTCAATTGCCAGGAAAAGGAACCTCAAAAAGTCATACAGGAATCCAGCCTGGAATGTTTCAGTGGTGAGATAAACAGCAACCAGTTCCTCCTTGGAGATATGTGTTGCTACTTGTATCAGGCCCTCAGGGAAGACTAACTGCTGGGGGCTGCCTGGGCAAAGTGACAGAACAGCCAAACTCCTGCTGTTCTCAGGATGAGAACACCTGGGGCTTTAGGCATGCTTCAACCCCTTCTTAGCTTCAGGCCGGGGCCCACAACCTAGAAGATATCAAGGGGCATTCAGTGAGCTTAGAGTTCAGGGAAATTTTATCTTGTCTTTCAAATTAGCATATAAGTACAATGTATAAATAAACAAGTGAGATGAAAACAAGGTAAATTTGGGGAGTTGTACTAGTCTGTTAGGAATAAAACAGCAGAATATTACAGACCAAGGAGTTTAAAAACAAAACATACTCACAGTCCTTGAGGCTCAGTCAAAGTGTCAATGGGATTAGTTATTTTGGAAATTTCTATTCTTTGCTTGAGGTTGATGCTTTCTCATTCTTATTAAATTTTCTCTGGGCATCCATATCTCTGGCCTTATCCCCTCACATAGATACCAATTTTACTAGATTAAGGCTTCACTCTAAAATATCCTTTTAAACTTTTTATTTCTGTAGGTCATACCTCAAAATAGAATTACATAGGAGCTTGGAGATTCAACAAGTGAATTTGTAGGAAACACAAGGTTCTCCTTGGAGGATCCCTCAAACTCATGTCTTCCTTTCATGGAAAATATATTTGCTCTATTTCAAAAAGCCTTAAAAGTCTTACCATTTCATCAAGTCTGAGTTTGGAAAACTATCTTAAAAGCATCTAAAACAGATATCAGGGACATCAGATTAAGCCCCTCGAATGGAATTTCTCTCCTCCTGTGAGCCTGTGGGGGGGGTTGTTTACACATTTTTAACATAGAATGGTGAGGCAAGTAGAGATACCCATTTTCCTGTCAATCCAGGAAAGCCGAAAGAGGTAGGAGTGATGGTTCAAGGCTAATTGCTTTAGATTTTATTTTCACAATATAACTTAATTTTTCTGTCCTATAAAATCTCATGTCTTAAATAGAATCCCATACCTATGATTTCCTCTGTGCACACTTTCATAGTCAGTGTTCTATTGCTGTGAAGAGACACTAGGACCAAGACACTCTCACAAAAGAAAGTATTTAATTGGGGCTTGTTTACAGTTTCAGAGGTTTAGTCCATTCTAATCAAGGCAGGAAGCTTGGCAGCACTCAGACAGACATTGTGCTGGAGAGGAGCTGAGAGTTCTATATCCAGATCAGCAGGCAGGAGGTAGAGAGAGAATATTTTCTGCAATTATTTTCCATTCCCTCTGGCTCTTACAATTTTTCTGTCCCCTCTTCTACAATGAGCCTTGGGAGGCTGTGGTGTGATACAGATATTCCATTTAGGATTGAGCATTCTGAAGTCCCTTCATCTCTGTGCACCGACCAGTTGTGCATCTCCGGATTAGCCACTATCAACTTCAAGAAGATTTTCTGATGATATTATAATTTTAATTCATTGGGAGTTACTTCTATGCTGTATCTATTTTGTAGAGTTGTAGCAGAAGGTTCTCTTTCCTCGACCCTATGGCCTGTCTAACCACAGGTTTATGGCCCCATTATTGGTATCAGATATGAATTTTAACTTGTGGAGCAGGCCTTAAAGTCAAGTATGTGATGAGTAGGTTCTTACTGTAAAGTTTTGGAGGGCAACCCAGAACATTCTGAATCCTGATTTTTATACCAGTACTGAGATCCAAACTCACCTCCACATATTTGTGCAGGAAACACTTTTGACACTGAGTCGTTTGTCTGGCTTCTTTAGGCATGTTTTACCCTGTCTCTACCCACTACCAGAGCATGGACTTGTGGAAGATATCAAGTTTTGTTTTCTTTAACTTTTCCATGTTTTTAACATGGTGGTATGTGTATAATGTTAATGTGCTTTGCTATTTGCTACCTCTCATATAAAATGATAGTAAATCTAAAGATGTGACTGAATCTGTTAATTATTTACTCTTTGGCACAATTCATGGATAATGCTGCGTAATTCTTTACATAGTGTCACAAGCATAGGATTTCTTCTTGTTTAGACTGGATGATGTTAATAGTAATGTGTGGGTTCAGGTGTCAACCTTATCCATCAGTTATAAGTTCTCCATTAACCCATCACAAATTATGTTGACAACCATTAATGGCTGCAACTTAGATGCATTATGGAAACACAAGTTTTGCGAATATATTTTTTATAATTTTGTTATTTTCTGCATTTATTAACTCTATTCCTCTGCAAAGAAGAAATTTTGTAATCAAATATTTTATGCTAGAAAAACAAGATCTAAGCCTTTTCTACTTATTACTATACTACTTTGATAATCTGTGGAGTAAACAATTTCCAAATGACCACAATGTTACAGCTAACAAAATTCAGACTGTAGAAAAAAGAAACTATGGAATAAAAATCTCCAGTTCCTTCATATAATAAACGGAAAGAGGTTAAAAAGAAAAAGGAAAAGGAGGAAGCAAGAACTTAAGAATTTAACAGGCTTTAATAGCCTGTCACCTAGTAGCTATATGTGAATTGTTTATTAAATGACTTTTCTGACAGTTTTCTACATTTATTCTTCATTTTGCTCATGTGTTGCATTGTGTTTATTGATTTGGAAGGAAGAATCTTCTCCCTACCTCTGGTATGAAACCAACTTGATTATGATATGTGATTTTTTTGATGTGATGTTGAATTCAGTTTACTTGTTGAAGATTCTGGTGAAGTTTTGTGGGGCTGTTGGTACACAGTTGTGTTGTTATAACCTTGTCTGCTTCTGTTAACTTGGCAATGTTAACATAGCAGGAATTAGAGAGATGTCCCCTTTCAATTCTTAGACTAATTTAGAAAGAATTGACATTTGCTATACTTTAGAAGATTTTCTTCTTTAAAAATATTTTAAAATAACAAGAAAGGGCTTGTCATAATAACAACAAAACTATTGTCATGAGCTGATAATAAGAGAACGTGCTAAGTAAATGTTTATTTATGGCCTTATGACTTTTGAAATCACACACACACACACACACACACACACACACACACACACACACACCATAAAGTTAATTTTGAGAAACTATGCAGGGCAAGAAAATTAAAATAGCAATCAGAGTAGCAACACATACTTGTAAAATGAGTTTCTTAAACATTTATCTGTACTACTTTCATATCAAAATTAGCTTGTACCAAACTTGACAATATCTCTGTTGTGTTCTTTCCTTCTTAGCAACCTAGAAACAAGAGTGAAGCAACCTCAAACAAATGTCAGCATCTAGCAAACTTTATGGTACATGGTGATTGCTTTGCAAACACTCACTTCCAGAGTAATGTTTACAGTACTAGTTTCACACCGAGAGGCTTCCAGGCAGGAATTAGCCAATGTGAAAGATGAAAAGCATTTAGTGAAACTGATAATGAAAATGGTTTCAGAGGAAAAAAAAAGTCAGGTGGTATGGAAAGTTCTGAAATCTAGGTTTACATACAGCTACTTAATCTTTCCTGGCTGTTCATATCTTAACATATGATGGCATAGCAGTTTTCTCTGTTTTGTGATCCTTTTGTTTAGAAATTGTTATTAAAGTTTATGATCACAGTTATGATAGAAAACTAGTGTGTTTTTATTGTTAAAGAATCATTAGATCTTTGCAATACTCAGAAGTGAAAAATGAGCATTTATGATTCATTTCTTTAATACTCGACTCATTCTGTATGGGTACTCTCCGCAATGCAACTCTCAGAGCAGACTGGAACACTAATTAGGGGTCCAGCTTCCCTTTGATGTTGACAGCAACTCTTATTAGTATTAATGTATATGGAAGAGAGAATAGGTCTTTAAATAATTTAAAAAAAAGCTTTGTGTGTTATGAGCACAGACATATGAAAGATTTAATGATGTGACTTTTACATATTTATATAGCGTGCACATAAACACACACTCATGTATTGTATATGACTATGTTTGGGGGGCTAAATGAAGCTCATAAAGTTTCACCATTAATTATGTTGACAGGGAGTATCCTTTTGTGTTGATTCATTTATTCCTAGAAATGGCTGTAGCACCTCTCAACAATGATCCTCCTGATTTTCAAACTATGTCTCTTCCAAGACTCTTGGCTAAGATTTCCTGAAGTGTTGTAGCTATGGGAAACTGAACAAGCATATGTGTGCTTTTACGTGTCAGGCATGTGAGAGTGTATATACTCTGTAGACATATTTCACAATACTCAATCTTTTCTTTCTTTTTTTTTTTGGGGGGGGGGGAGGCCTTTTCTTTTTTGTAGATACTGTGAAATACAGCCACAATTCTTCTTTGGGCGTAAGTGACTTAGTATGTGATTTTAATGTTTAAGTCCCAAAGTAGTACTTGACACAGAATAAGCAAAGGTTGTGTGTCATTTCCCGAGTGAGAAGCACCAGGATTTTGTTGGTCAGAGGAAGGTTTTTGATTATAAGAGGTCTTTGTATTTCAATGACCAAGTAATATGTAATCTACATTTATGGCTTTATATATGGATTGTTTAACTTCTAAATTATAACTTAAAGAAAATTTCAAAAGTAGAAAGATAAAACAAAATCCTAAGGAGGTTTTCATTTAAGGAACATTGGTTTAATACTAAATTCTTCTAGGATGTTTTTCAACTGGTTGAGATTTAAGACCTGAGCATTTCAAATTTCCTATACGCATAAAATTTTTTTTTCGTTACAATACACTGCCCCTGAAAGGCAGGCCTGAAATGGTTCGGTAAAGCCCCCTTTGAAGGACTCTGCACAGGTCAAGGAATAAACAAAGCTGAGGGGCAAGGTCTTTGTTATGCATGAAGCCGCTGGCCATTTCAGAGCAGCTCTGGGTGTCAGGGAACCCAGTGGATGACAGATGGTGTGACTGTCCTTGCAAATTTTTCACCTTAAAATGACAGCCTCTGTGGAGATAGCCTGTAATCACTAGGGAAGGCTCCTCTAAAAGCCCCTTGATAATTACACGAGGAGAAACAGTTTTTATTTCAGGTATAGCTCCGGTCTCTTTTGATATTTAAGAAAGCTTGGATGTTTGTAGCGAAGAAAGGCAAGGGAAGAAAAATGTCTCTGTTCAAAGAGCAGAGTTCCCCTCCACACAAAGCAGTACATGGGGAAAGCATAATCAATATGCTTTCAGAGGCTTCCTTTTAAGTGCATATACATCGTTCAGTTTGCTGCACTTTAAGCCTTTAACCAAAACTATCTTCTTTGACAGAAAGACAGTGTGGACTATGTAACTGAAGCAAATTCCTTTCAGATAATCAGGCTATACATGTTATCAAAGAGTAGTACATTGTTTTAAGTAGCTAGCTTTAGCCATTTAGTCACTGTGTGATTAGAAGTTTACAATAGGTCTTTCTCCATTCTCATTTTTCTCTTCCTTACTGAATTTATATGGATGAAGGGTAGGGGAGAATTCTGTAACTTCATTAAGAATTCTGTATTTATTCTGTGTTCCAAAACAGTTAATTATGTTGCTTATTTAAAATTGGTAAGGGAAGATTATTAAAATTCTGAGTGACAGAAAGAGGTTTCGAGATTATGTGATCTATAGGTTTGCCATGGCAGACAGCATCGTAAAATTAAGACATATTAAAAAGGCTAGGCTAATTCTGAATGCAAACAATGTTTTAGCTTGATTTCGAGGACAGCCATTGCTGTCATCTGCTCTTTACCTTCACCTTCATGGGCTATAACGTCCTCTATAATACACTATGGTCTAAAGCAGGAATCAAGGAGTAGGGTAAATTCACAACAGAAGAATCAATAGTTCATTATTTTTATTACATTATTTGTATGTTCCTTTAGTAACTTCATTAAATGTTAGAAAATGGAAAATTACAGCCAGACTGGGATCAATCCATTAAGTTGTTGGCTTATGCTCTTGAAGGAGATTTTTCTTTAGACTTTGTGTAATATGAATATAAATTTTCTTGGTATGACATCTGAGACAGTCAGAGTTACTAAGAGAAGTATGTTTGTGACAGGGATGAGTCAACCTCCATGTATGTCAGGTAGGCCAATTTTGTGAGTTATATTACACCTTTGATCACTCATTGCTCATTTTATAAGTTCTCATATTAATTAAACTCTCCCATGCTATACTCTCCTAACCACATTCCTTGAAATACGGGTGAGGTTCAGTTGTATTTTGTGGTGGAATATTATTTTTAGGAAGTGTAGACATGATTGGGTCCATTAGCTCTATGTAGAGGTGTGGTGGATTGAATAAGAATGACCTCCATAGGCTCACACTGAGTGGCACTATTAGGAGGTGTGTCTTTATTGGAGTAGGTGAGGCCTTGTTGGGGAAAGTGTGTCAATGGGGGTTGGCTTTGAGGTTTCACAAGCTCAAGCTAGGCTCAGCTCTCTCTTTTCTTGCTGCCTGCAGATCCAGATGTAGAACTCTGTGTTCCTTCTCTAGCACCATGTTTGCCTGTGTGCTCCCAGGCTTTCTGCCATGATGATTATAGACTAGACCTCTGTACCTGTAAGCCAGCCCACAATTCAATGTTTTCCATTATAAGAGTTGTTGTGGTCATAGTGTCTCTTCACACAGCAATAGAAACTGTAAGACCTTTGACTATGAAAATTTAAAATTAGGATAAGGAAGAAAGAACAGAAGGCAGAAGAGAGGAGGTGAATGTATTGAAAGGGAAGGGAAAGAGAGGTGAGAAAGAAAAATGTGTAACTTCCAAAGTCAGTCAGCTCTACTTTAATGTCTTAGTATTCAAAGTTTGCTATTTTCTTCATCATTATTTTTTATTGTGTGATCACTTGCAATATTTTAAAAACTCACAAAATACAAACTTTTACAATGGTCTCCCTGAAGTCTAAATATTATCTATAGAATGATCACCATGTTTTTATCACTAAATGGAAAAGTATGCTCAAACAACACAAAGGAATTGAGAGCCCACATCTCTGCCAAAGCTAACCTAGAGGTCCACAGTTCATTCTCTATTTCACGTTCAGTGGTCATATATTCTGTCTTTTTCATCCTTCTGTTGCCAAAGTAGAGTACATGGTCTCATACATCACTAAAGAATTATATAATTATCAGAGAATTTAATATGCTAAAACAAACTGTAGTTAAACCTGGAGGAATGAGATGCAGCATTTTTCAAGCTGACTTGACCATTGGTCCATCTATATCTCTTCTGTAAATAGCTCACAGAACTTCTAGACCAGAAGAGACTTGGGGTAGGATGGAGTCCTGGTCTTTGTCATGATTTCTTTGACTCATATCATTGACAAGGGATATAACAGAGGGCAGGACCAATGTATTCCAGGATTGCTCTTAACTCTTAGTCTAACTGTACTCTCCGAGTTTCCAAATCTCAAACACAGTAAGGCCATCGGTTAAGTGGCATGAAATACGTTAGTAGGCATCTAGTCACTTGGCATCTCTGGGCCCAATATTGTCAGCCATGACAGAAGCTCATTTTTAATGCTTACTTTATGAGGTTAATAAGGTTAAATTATGTTAATGAACACACTTTGAAAATGGCAAAGCACAGTACCAATAGAAGAAATTGTTATTCATTGAGGTAACTATAACATGAAACAGCATGGCATCTAACATATAGCTTTATTATCTAACTTTGTAGGGATTATAACTCAATTTTACTATTATCAAGATGGGTAAATGATATCAAATTAATGACAGCATTGAATGAGCATGAATTTTATCTTTTAAAAAATTGAGATAATTGATATGCTCCAATGTTCAAATTAAGCAAATGATGGATGCTGAAATACCAAGTCAGAATTTCATATTAAGAAAAAATATTTTGAAAAAAAAAACATTTCCAAATATACCAAGAAGATTCTGAGGTCTCTTCTCTGGATGTCTCAGTGCATGTACCACTGTACTTGTCAAAGAAAACTCAAAGAACCAACAGTCCTGATATGGGTGTTTGAGTGAGAAGAGACTTGGGTATTTATATATTTGGTGCCTAGTTGATGGTACTCTTTGAAGAAGTTATAGAACCTTTAGAAGGTTGAACTTTGCCACAGGAAGTACATCACTATGGAAGGGCTTTGAGAATTTATAGCCTCACCCAACTTGCAATTTGCACTCTCTGCTTCCTGCAGGTAGTTGGAGATGAGGTTTCTCAGACCCTTGTTCCTGCCGTCTAGTGCCATGCCTTCCCTGCCACTATGAACTCTCACTCTGGAACCATAAGCCAAAATAAGCTCCCTTCCATAAGTCATGCTGGGTTATATCACAGCAATACAAAAGTAACCCAAAGTGCCCACAATAAGAAACTAAGACATTCTATGTAAACAGCCAAATATTTAGCCTGTCATTTTGTCTTGTGTAGTCATTTGAAAGAGAAGTTTTCTTTTCTTTTCTTTTTTTTTTTTTGAAAGCAATTTGAAAAGTTGCTTGCATTGCTCCTGTGACTGTTTCAGAAAACAATGGAGGAAGAATGAATGTTATTTAGATCAATTACCTGGATGTCAAAGTGAGGAATCATTTATTTCCTGTTTTGATATTTACATTGATGGCACTTTCCCCTTCATAAGCCTATAGTAGAAATCAGAATGGTCCTTTTCATTAACGCATCATGGAAAAGACTTCTCAGCTGTTTCAGTTCCACATCTTCAGGAAGATGTGAACTTGAGTCTAAGTTGGATGAACACATATAGGAAAAGTGTGATTTGGCTAATAAAGAAAATCCCATGTAATGCAGATTTCCTGTCTTATTCTCTTTTCTACAAGGAGACAAGTTATTTCCAATTTAAATACACATACAAACACAAACATGGATCAGACATTTCCACATACAACTAAGAAGGACAGCTCATCAGACTTTTCCACATTTGGTCCTGTACCTTTCCCCTCTACAATGATTTTCCTTTTCTATCTGCAGAGGCTCTTTCTTCTTACTAAAGTCTTAAGTCAATTATTAGCTTAGACTTCAGCTTTTCCTGGAGACCCCTTTTAATCAAGTTCCATTTCTATTCCTTTTTAGGATTCATTATTGGTTGTATCCACTTACTTAATTGTGCATTTGTTGTCTGTCTCCTCATGAAGTCCTTTGCCTTTCTACTTGGAAGTGGATAGGTGTTCTCAACTTGATGAATAAAGACAACAAAGTTTTAGATGGTCAAACACACAATGATTTTTATGTCTTAATATAATTATTATTAGCTATGAAATATGTAATATGTGTCAAACACCAATGACCTGTATCTGTGGGTTATTTCCTTTACTAATAACAATGACACCATGAAGCAAAACTATTATCACAATTTTGAAGATAGATGGAAGGATAGAGTTATTATAACTTCCTGGTTTATCAATCCATTTGTTTTCATAGCAAAATACATAGAGAGCTATTTTATATTTTAAGTGGTGGTTTATTTTATTTTCAGTTTTGTAGGAAGAAAGACTGAAATCTTGTTACCACATCTTTTTGGCTTGGGGTAACATCATGGTGTATAGACTTTATATCGTAACACAGTAGAGAAGAAGAAAATGAAATGGCTCTGTAAAAAGGGGCCAAGTACATGGGAGGCCTTGTTTATAACAGCATGTTCTCCCAACTCACTCTGAGAGCGCAACATGAGTCATTTTAAGGGTGATGGCTTCATGTTATGCAATTTCCTTGCATTAGGTACCACGTCTTATATGTCTCAGTGCCTTTTCACCACCATGCACTCAGGACCAAATATCTAATACATGAACCTTTAAGAGATACACTCAACAAGGCAACACTCCTTCATTGCTGGTGGGAGTGCAAACATGTACAAACCACTTTGGAAGTCAGTGGGGCAGTTTATTAAAAAACTGGGAAATCTACCACAAGACCCAGCAATACTACTCTTGGGCATATACCCAAAGGATGCTCAATCATACCACAAGGACACTTGCTCAACTATGTTCATAGAAGCTTTTTTTGTGATAGGCAGAACATGGAAACAACCTATGTGCCCCTCAACTGAGGAATGGATCAAGAAAATGTGGTACATTTACACAGTGGAATATTACTCAGCTATTAAAATCAATGACACCAAGAAATTTGAAGGTAAATGGATGTGATGAAAAAAAAATCATCCTGAGTGAAGTAACCCCAGCCAGTGAAGACAAACATGGTGTATATTCACTCAAAAGTGGATATTGGCTGTAAAATAAAGGATAACTATGTTACAATCCACAGACCCAGAGAGACTAGGTAACAAGGACAGTTCATGGGGGACACACAGATCTCCCTGGGAAGGGAAAATAGAAGAGACTGGGTGGACTGAGGGCAGGTGGGGATGGGAACATGAATGATCTGGTTGGGCTGGCACAGAGAGGGAGAGTGCTGAGGGGGACTGGTGGGGGGCATTTCAGGGTCGGGACAGAAGCCTGGAATAGGAAACTATGGGGAGGGCCCAGCTCAGACTCTTAGCAACAGTGGATAAGTAGCCTGAACTGGTCATCTCCTGTGACCAGATTGGTGCTTGGCCCAATTGTCATCAGAGAGGCTTCATTCAGCAACTGATAGAGGTAGACACAAAGAGCCACAACCAAACATTGGGTGGAGTTCAGAAATCCTGCAGCAGAGGAGGAGAAAGGAATGTAGGAGTCAGAGCGGTCAAGGGCACCAAAGGAAGGCTCACATAATCAACTAACCTGGGCTCATAAGGGCTCACAGAGACTGAACCGACAACCAGGAAACCTGCATGAGACTGACCTAGGCATTATGCATGTATGTTATAGTTGTGTAGCTTGGTCCTCTTATGGGACTGCTAACAGCAGGAATAGGGGCTGTCTCCAACTCTTTTATTGGCTTCTGGGACCCTACTCCCCATACTGGGTCAACATGCTCAGTCTTAATACATGGGGAGGTGCTTACTGCAATTTGATATGCCATGTTTTATTGATACTCATGGGAGACCTGCCCTTTCCTGGATGGAGACTGAAGAGGAGGGGATTAGGAGGTGGGATGGGGGTGGAGGTGGCAGAATAGGAGAGAGGGACTGGAAGGGGAGGATGGGGAGAGGCTGCATCTGAGATAAAAAATAGATTTTAAAAAAGAGAAATATGCTCAAGCCCTGAGAGTAGACATCCTTGGGACCCAAGACATTTTGTCATATGGTCTATATTATTTTTGCTATGGTATTAAAAATTATATACTTTGAAATAAATAGTCAATGGATATTTTGTTTCTCATCTGCCATAAATCTCAAAATAAGACAGTAGGTTGGAAATATATCCTGAGATGGTTTAATAGTATTTTTTAACTCTTGTAGCGTTTTTTTTTGTATTAGTTATTTTAATTTACATAGTAAAAATATTTTTGTGTTATCCTTCCACACCTTTTACCATTTTTACTTACTAATTCATGTGTGGGAAATATTTGCCATTAATATTTTCAACATTTACTTTATTTTTATTGTACATATATTTTTTGGTGTTCACATTGCTGCTGGTGGTGGTGTTATATGTGTACATGTTTGTGGTGTGGGCAGATTTCAGAGGAAAATTTGTGGGTGTCCGTTGTCTCTCTTTATCATGTGTGTCCTGAACACTGAGCTCAGATTGTCATGCTTAGCAACAAGAGCCTTTGCCCTTTGAGTCTCTTGCTAGTTTGCAGTTAACACAACATTTTCTTGAGATTTTCAGAGCATCTGATTGAACCACACAAGTATAGCAGTTCTTGGGAGCCTGTGGACATTAGCTAAAGATAATTCTCAGAATAGAGGTGATATGGTTTTAGACTTTAAATGTAATATGAAGCATTGAATTTGCTCTCACTTTATATTATTTTAGAATTTCTTGGAGCTAGTAATATGAGAGCCAAGTATCTATGATTAAAAAGTTAAAAAGTATTCCCCCAAATATAAATTTCCTTACAGCTCAGAACTGAGTGTCTCTGTATTTGGTCCATAAAGCTTGAAAACTGAAGCCCATCGCTCAGCCATAGGCTTGCTGATACTGGAAATAATATTGATTCTGCGTGACTTCTCACACACATATCTGTAGCTAGAGTTTTCCTGCTTTGCCCACAGTTAGGACAAATCTCTGTCACCCGCCAGTCCCACAGCCGCTCAGACCCAACCAAGTAAACACAGAGACTTATATTGCATACAAACTGTATGGCCGTGGCAGGCTTCTTGCTAACTGTTCTTATAGCTTAAATTAATCCATTTCCATACATCTATACCCTGCCACGTGGCTGGTGGCTTACCGGCGTCTTCACATGCTGCTGGTCATGGTGGCGGCTGCAGTGACTCTCTGCATCAGCCTTCCACTTCCCAGAATTCTCCTCTCTCCTTGTCCCACCTACTTCCTGCCTGGCCACTTGCCAACCAGTGTTTTATTTATTGACCAATCAGAGCAATTTGACATACAGACCGTCCCATAGCACATATCTACAGAACACTATGTAAAGATCTTTACTCAAGATCCTAAGATATTCAACACACTAACCAACATACATATCTGTGATTCAATTCAATTTTAGAAAATTTATTTACTTATTTATTTATTTTTGATACAGGCTCTCACATTGTAACCCCAATTGGCCTCAGACTAAGTATATAATTCAGGCTGGGTTCAAGATCATGGTAATCTCCCTGTGCCAGCTCCTCTTGAGTACTAAAATTAAAGGCACGTACCACCACATCTATCTCAGAAAAGTATTTTTTTATTGTACAAAGGCTTGTTGATTTATATTTGTTCACAAATAGATGAATTTTAGACAGGGTATGACAGGTGTAAAAGATTTTTGGACTGATAATACAGGAGTTTTGGGCAAGTAAGACTAAAATTAATAAGTATTTTTGAAAACTAGTTCCAAAGATTTTAACACTTAATTTCTATAAGAATCCTATTGAATGTGTTTTATCTATGTCCTTCCAGTCTATGACTCCAATGACTGAGGACAGAGGTGGGTGACAATTCTATATGACTTTGAATCGCTGTGCTTTAAGAAGCTGATAAGTGAAGATGACAGACTTGAAGATGTCTATGCATATGATTTCTGTTTCCCTCGGCTTTGGTTGTGTCACGTGGGACCCAGTACTGGGTCTAGCAAAGGACAGTGGCAACAAAAGGAGTTAAATTCTTGATTTTGTAATTCTTAAGTTTATGGGTCAGTGCAACACAGGTTACATATTATGCCACAGAAATCTATTTCCCCTATATTCTAAATTGTTCATTTAAAGACAGGTCATCATTTACTAAGGACGATGAACTCCTAAATATCAAAGTCCTTGAGCATTTGTATCCTCACTCAACAGCATTGTGATCAAGGGGAAGCAACTTCATGGAAACTTGGTTTCCTTGTTTATAAGACTAGGCTATTACAATCCCCATAGGAGCCTTTCCTGGAGCCTGCTTAAGGGAGTGCACAGAACTGCACCCACTCAGAATGTTCAGCAAATAACCATCTATTCTTCTGTCCTTATCCTGGACAGAAGCCTACTCATGGTGCTATGGGGATTTGATCAGCCTCCAGAGTAAGCCTGCTTCTACTGATATAAAACCTAGTAAGATGTCACTGAAAAATTATACTTTCTAAAGCTGTAAAAGAAAATAGCCTGGTTGGCAAGATATGTAGACATATGTAAATGTCAGTATATATGTGCATGTGTGTATTTATATGCTTCATCAGATATCCATATTTGTAAAAGGTAAAATGAAATAGAGCTTTCCTTAGATCTTAAGCTTAGATGTAGAACTTGGGCTCCTCACCTGCATATGTCTGCTTAGTGTTGGTCTGTAATACCACATCACCTTTTATGGTTAATAATGCTATACGAAGAAAATAATAGTCACTCTTTTTTTTCCCAAAGCATTTACTAATCGCCATCTGCTATACTGAATGTCTCCTGTAAGTCTCCTAATTAGACTAAAATATACACATTTTAAAGCTTGTTTTGAAAATGAAAAAGTGATTTTAGAAAGGTTAGATGACATCCTCAGTTATATAGTTGATGAAATCAGTCCTCCAGCCAGACCATGAATCTCTTTTTGCATTCCTTACACACACATCTCTTTTGTTCCTTCCTTCCCCTCCACCCTGTGCTTTCCTGCAGTAAACACAGTACATCTGAATTGTGGAAACAGGCCTCTATTTTCATATTGTTGCTTCCAACCTCCTGCATCTCCTGTACTAGTATTAATCACTCATGTTTTCTTTCTAACCACATAAAAGTGCTTGATGTATTAATGCTCAGGTGGGAAAATGTTAAAAGCAAAGGAGAAAACAGAGGTCAAGCAGATCCTGTGTAAACTCCACTATCTGTTCACCATTTGGCTACTTTATAGTAAATCAAATCCATTTTACATAATGAAGCTTGTCTTTATTATCCCATTATCGCTGTCGTGGAAGGGAAATAATGTGTTTGCTTTAGTTTTAGGTCATTTGTAATTACAAAAGGATATGCAGGAAAATGGTGTACTCCTTGCTTGCTTTTAAAATCTGCTTGCTTTGTTGTTCTCCACTTTTAAAAACTATTTTTTAAAGAAAGTACTAGAAGGCTGTGTTTTTATTGCCCTGATGCCTTTAATAGTACATACTGTGAAACTAAGCTGGATACCTGATTGATGCCATTCCTACCTGTCTAGGAAGATAATGATCAAGCACAAGGGGTCTGTTCTCCAGGTGATGTGTGCATGGAGCTCCCATTAATGTTAATGGGAATCCTGCAGCTAAGCACAGTGACTGGAGACAAGAGGCTGAAGGTGTGGTGCGTCCATTAATACTTTTTTCTCCAGAGCAGCTGGTTGGAACATAAGTAGTTTGCACTCCTTTTGAATTGAATGATCAAACATATTTTTAAAGTGCTATTTGTGAACGATACAGAGATGGTCACAATGGGCTCCATAAAGTACACTTAAGCATAATTTTATTGGATATTCTTATGAAAGGCATGCTTTATTTCAAGGAATGTATTAATAATTGATATTGAATGTGGCCAATTAGAAATCTAAATTTTTTTAAATAATTTGTTAGTAAGTAGAAAATATAGACTTTAAGAACAAAAACAAAGCCGTGGTTAAGAACTGTGATAACAGAAATTGACTAAAGTATAGACAAGAGAGAAAGAGGAAATATATAGAAAAAAGATGAAATTTCGTATTTAAGCAGAACTATAGATTTGTAATAGTTAAGGGATAAAATCATGCATATAATCATATATATCTAGATATACATTCACACACACACACACACACACACACACACACATATATATATATGTGTGTGTGTGTGTGTGTGTGTGTCTAATTTTAGAAAATGATTCCCTTGCAAAACATTAAGCACCTACTCTTTAAGGTATTCTATTACATTTACTGAAGTTCAGCATTATTTTATATACTTGGGATTTGCACTGACTGATTTGGTTGTGATCTTTGTGAAGTTGTAGTCTAGAGGAATTGATTACAAAGGAGAAAAGAAGCTTAGAAATACCTATGTCTAACACTGACTTTCTTCAGATAAAAATTGACACTCAGAGAGAGACATTAATGTATCTACTGCTACAAAGACAGCTAGGGCCAGAGACAGGTCTCAAATGCTAGACCCATGTATAGTGATGCACTCTGTATTTATAACTCAGTGTATTTACACTGAGATCTATGCCCCTAACACAGTTTTGGATATATAATGCATAACCACTAATAACTTGTTATATCAAATAAATAAGCCAGGTATAGGGACACTCACCAATAATGACAGATTTGAGGAGAATAAGGCTCATGAGTAGGATCATGAGTATGAGGCTAATCTGCACTATGATTTTGGTATGGGGATGTTGTTCAGTAGTAGATCATTGGCCAGCTATGTGTAAGTCCAGAGTTTTATCCTCAGCACCTCAAATGTACAAAATTGTTCTTTCAAAAGCCATGCTCCAAGAAGATTCTGCATGACACAAATAAATTAGAACAATATGAAATAAGGGGAAAAATTCACAATCTCTGCTAACATTTAAATAATTGTGTGATTCTCAATTTAAGAACTATAACTCAATTTAACAATTCATTAGATAATGGTGTTTTATTACTTTAAAAATTTCAAAATTGCATTTCACTTGCAATTAAGGTGACATAATTTGCAACAGACCATAGACCTGTGTTTCTACCAAGCATGATTCATAGTGCTATCAAATGTAAAACCTGAGCTGAGGATGTAGAATGCTCAATAGCATTTATGTGGCACAGAATATGATTTTTAGCACCATAAATAAACTGAAAATCAATCCAACTTGAACTTGAGGGACTAGACCTTTAAAGAAGAAGCTGGCTGTCAATGAGCTCTGGGGCAAGAGCTACATCACCAGCAGCGTCTCAGAGTGAAGTGGTAAGCTGCAACTCTTGACCAGACTATGAAAATGGCAGCAAGAAATGGGAATAAGAGGGAAAATAAACAGACAATTTAAAAAGATCCACATGTAACCTAGTTACCAACATATTGAAAACACAATTTGTTTTTTTAAAAAAACCCTACAACTAACATGTGAAAAATAATACTTCACAAGGGAGATGGTTCCATTAGGAAACTGTAGTGTATAAGTAATTATCAAATGATATCATAAAACTTTGAGGTAATGTATTTAAAAATAAGAACTGAGTACATGTTTAAATACAGACAGCATGTATAAAGGAAAGCCTGAAATTTGTGTACGTAATTCTTTGGAGAAGAAGAAATAGCAAATGGGGTGAAGTCATAACTTAAAAAAAATAGCAAATCTGAAAACCACAGCAAGATATGTTGTGGTCACCTTACTAAAGACATAGACAAACCAGCATTGATGATGGGAAACATGCCACATTTCTGTCTAGAGTACAGCATTGAGTTTGCCCATTTGCCTTTTAAAAGAAATTATGGAAGCAAGAAGATATCAGCATTAAATGTACAAAAACATTTAAAAAATGAAAAAAATAACTTACAACCCATATTTTTCATAAGTAGAGAAAATATTCCTGAAACGAGGGAGGCTTATAAAGATAATTTTCAAAATATTAAAAGCTTAGCAGAACAGAAGCAATGGAAAGACTAAGAAGGGCCATGAGAAAAAAAAAGATGTGAGATGCACATATGCAATTCAGGGGGGCATAAAAACAAATGAAAATCAACGCAACAGTGGAAAGCTTAAATGATTGTCACTAGACAGGAAAAATGGCTCATTAGCTGAAAACAACTAAACTGAATGCCAAATACATTAAAAGTGAAGAAAAGTCAAAAGTGACTTAAATGAAAGTTGCAGCTGGAAGTTGCAGAATTATAAATGCCACCCCAAAATTTTACTTTGCATTATGTTTTATTAAGAGAAATATGAGTACATGGAAATAGTCATAAATTGCCATTAAGTGATTGTCCACTAGGCCTGGAAAGATGACTCAGTGGTTAAGAGCACATACTGCTTTTCTTTCTTAGGAAGCAAGGTTCCCAGCACCCAAGGAAGGTGACTCACATGTGTTTGTCCTTCCATTTGCAAAGCATCTGATGTCTCTGCTCCAGGGCACCGCTCACATGCACATTCACATACCTATATGCATACAAACACATAATAAAAAAATAACTGAAATAGGGTCCAGAGACTCCTAAGATAGAAATAATCTGAATTCTCCCTCCTTGAGTACTAGCTTTTGTGGTACTAGAAGGTACCATGCAAGTTTTCAAAGGAGGTAGGCAACCAATAGTCCTAACTACCTAAGACACCTATGAACCTCATCAACAGTCTGCATGGCATGGTAACAGTAAAGGTACAGTAGCGGCATGGATACCTTGATGGTAACCAGTAGCTCTCTAATTGAGTTTAAGATGTCATCAACAAGAGGGAGATAATGATTGCAACTGGAACAGTCAACTCTGAAAATATATATACAGGCAGCATTCTATGGACAGAACAGGTTACATTTAGGAATACATATGTATATGAATTACATATATGTATGCAATAACAATTAGTGAAAAAGAGGCTGTGAGTTTGAAAGAGAGCAAGGAAGAATACATAGGAAAATTTGGAAGGAGAAACTGGAAGGTAGAAATGTTATAATTAAATTATAATCTCAAAAAAAAGAGAACATTTGAAAAAAGAAAGAAAAATAAATTTTTAAAAGGTTGTCCTCCTAAACAGCCAATAAAGAGAAATAAATGATAACAAAAATATTAAAAGGTTTACGGCATCATATATAAACATTTTCTCTAAACTAGCTATGGCAATTGAAAGTAAAATTAAAATGCTACTAATAACCACATTAAACATACATTTATCAGAGATACACAAGTCCTGTGATGTGAAATTATAAAGCATTTTAAGATACTAAGTTCATAAAGAAACTGAGTGAAACGTTATGTGAATGAACTAAAGAGCCAGTATGAAGAATTGTATATTTTTTCTCCAAGTTCATCATTTCAACACAATCCAACTGCAAAAACTACATATCAGCAGCAGAGAATGTAGAGGGCATAAATAGATAATACATTTAAAAATCAATTGGCTTTTGACAGACTTGTAGGGAGTATTAGATAGAAAAGAAAAATCTTAATGAATGCTCTGTTAACCTTGGAAGTCCAGACAAATAATAAATAAATATAAATAAAAAACCCTCAACCTCTATCTCATAATTTATAAAATTACTCTGGACAGGACTCCAGCAGCGCCTCTGAGTCATGCCATGCTACCTGATTAGACAGAATTTAGCCCAACGGGGTCCTGGGAAAATATTTGGATCTGAATTATAGGACTCAATCTGAAATCTAGGATTAATCTTGAAGAAAGCACAATAAAATATTTTTATAATGTCAGACTATGCAAAGTTCTTATGGAATACCAAAAGAATGTTGTAAAAGTGATAGCACTGGAATTAATCAAAATCAAAATTCTGCATAAAAATAAGAGGTAGGTAGATGATCAGGAAAAGTATTCCCAACATTGCCCTCTGACAAAGAATTTACACTTGAGTGAAGAAATAAAAAAAAAAAATAAATAAGATGGGAAGTGATTGAAAAATATAAATGGGCAAATGATTTGTGGAGGCAAGAGCAAGAAAAATCTACCAAAGACTGCTGAACATAGAAAAGGGTACTCAGAGGCGTCACTGGGGAATTCGTGGTATATACTCCAGAACAGATACATTAAAACCATATACACACCAAATGTGGTCAGGGACTCATGCAAGCTAACACTCAGACATTACTGGTTGGTTTACAAAGTGGTTGTTTACAACTTTGGGCAGAAGTGTAATGGCAATTTCCCTCCTAAATATTACACACAAGAAATTACAACAAATGTCTACAAGAAATATGAACAGCAATGCTTGTTATAGTTTTGCTTATGATATAAACAATATGAAGCAAAGCAAGCATAGAGCAGGAAGTGAGTGGATAAGCAAAAAGGTCATTTCCATGCAAATGCAATCAGTTGTACAAGAGGTGGCTACTGTCCAGTAGTACAGAGGAATTTCAAGTCATGCAGAAACAGTGTAAATGAATGAGCTTATTTTTGTTAAGAATCCACTCAAATAAAATTTTCTGAAAGAACTCATTTGTGGTGGAAGTAATCGGGAGGAAGGTTATTCTTCATGGTGTTATCAGTTCTAATGAGCATGAGAAAATGCTTTGTATATGGAGATGTGTTAGGGTTACATTGCACTATAAGACTTCTATATTTTTATATTAATTATCCTCAAATTAATAAAAACAATTAAACCCTGAAAAGATTTCATTGAAACACAGTAGTTTTTTTTTAAGTGTCACTATTGTGTCGACATTGACACTCAGTTTTAAGGCAGGGTAACTTTTCTGGATGAGGATGTGGCTTGAACATTTTTAATGAACAGAGTAAAATCAAAGATAGCTCATTACTTATGTTTTTCTTTCTGTAAGTCCAGGAAGCTGGATAAACACTGACCACAGGAGTAAAGCTACAAAGTATTAAAAAAATGATGATATCCACCAAATAAATACAAATAATATTTCAAAATGCAGTATGCCAGAAGAAAATGTCTATTCATGACTGAATTCTTTCTAGCATTTCTTGCATAAACTTTTTTTTAAATATTGATATAATCTAAGTGCATACATTCATTAGCGAGCAGTTTTTAAATCATGGCATAATGTTGCAAAAATTTAGTGTTTTATGAACCAGGAGAGGTGTCACACACTTTTAATCTCAGTACCAGCAGGCAAATCTTTTTGAGTTTGAGGTCAGCCAAGGCTAAATAATGAGACCCTGTCTGCAAAATCTTTCTTTTCTTTGGGTGGGGATAGTTGGAGGGAGGAAAATGACATAATTATATATTTAAAACCATTATCTTAAAAGATATAAAATGTGTTTTTAAAATAAGTACATCACTGTTATTTTAAGGTTATATAATATCCTATTAAATAAATCGTGTAAAAATGTATGCTTGCTTTCTGGATCCCCACGTACTCTTCATCTTTGTATCTCCCAGATAAATTATTTCTGTTAGCAATGGCCTCCTTCATTTCTAGTAATTTCACTTGTATTTAAGTCTGTTTTGTTTAATATGTGCATGTGAATACATCCGAGGGTTTTCATTTAATTACTGCCAAGAACATTGTTTTCATTTCTTCTATTATAACAGTATTCTATAGGCTTACCTTTTCATAAATGACAGGATTGGATGTTATGAGTTGAGTCAGAAAGTATGCTTAAAATGAATTATATATTTGAAAAATATGTAAGAGAAGGTACAGTATACACATTTATAGATTTGCATCAATTCACAGTACATATATGAGTAAACATGTACAATTTTTCTAGGCATAATTATACAGTGAACAGTTATAAACCACATTCAAGTATGGATTGTGACTAGAGTTCTATTCAAGAAATCAGTATTTGAAAGAGTAAATGAGCAGACTATATCTGTAGATGAGTGAAAGATGAGAAGGTCTGAGGTCGAGTTCCAAAAGACTGATGTTATTGAGAAAGACACAGAATACAATATTTCTGAAAACGGCAATGTGAATGCATGTGGAGATATCCCAGGTTTAAACAGAGGCAAGCATTGTCAGATTAATAATGTGCAGAATTATTTTGATGATGATGTGAAGTAGACTGGAGTACAGATGGTTGTGAGAAGATCCAATTAGGAAGCACATGTAATATTTATATAGGATAATATTTGACATGTATGACGCTGAAAAACTGATAATACAGAAATGGTAATGAAGACCAGTGTAATTTTAATTGAATGGTTAAGATGAAGTTCACAGGCCTTGATCACCATATATACATGAGAGAATGAAGAACATTTTATAAGCATTTTTGAGAGTGAGTTTCGTGCACTGAATCATCAGAACTCTAACTGTAGACTATGTATCTCAGAGGGGAAATTTCTGAGAAAAGGGCAGCATGAGATGGAATAGATGTATGCTTCAAGAGAGAGACAGGAGGATTACAAATTAAAGGCCAGCATGGATTACATAGTGAATTCTAGATCAACTTGAGATATGCAATAAGATCCTACCTCAAAAACAAACAAACAAATCCTCCAAAACAAAAACAAGCAAACAAACAAAAAACCCCAGATAAACAAGAGAACAACTAAACAGATAAACAAAAAGAGTAGAAGGCCAAGGAATACCATCTTTATCAGGCCTACGGAGAAAGTGACAAGGCATGTAGAAACAGATTAGGATATATCAATATTCTTGGATAAGTTAATTCATATGGATGAAACATTTAAATCATTATCTTAAAATGTTCTTAAAGCTTAAAGAACATTCTTATTATTTACTTTAGGCTTTTTAAGGTATGTGAATTAAATTCACTCTGCAGTCAATTTAAAGATGGCTGAGTTCCACCATTTGAGATAGACATATGTCAAACTGGACATGAAAACACTTTGAGGAATGTGTATTTGGGAATACCAGTTGATATCCCCATCACATCAATCTGACCTCTTTCTTGGAACCTTACAGTAAATGGTTTTCATGTCATCCATGGAGGGAAGCAGCACCTAGCATATTAAACACATTGATTTTACAGATCAAGTTGGACACATTCAGTTCGTGAGGCCACAAAGATAAGCTGCACATTAATCCGATGGTATGGGACATTTGATTCACTCGTACTTATTTTTATTCAAAGATCATAATGTAAAGCAAATTTTTAAATTGCCCTACCCATTTTAAAAATCAATCAGTCATAATGTTTTGAGTCATTACAAGCTAGAAGTCATGGCAACAGAGTGATAGTTTTTTACTGTCCAGATAAAGAAGATTATTAATTTACCATTTTCTGTGTTACAGTCAGCTACTCGCCTGAGATCTTAGTGACTTCACTTCATTTAATATGAAAAAGTATAAAATTGACATATAAACATTCCTTGGAAGAACCACTCATAATAATAATTATTATTATTTCAAACTTAGTAAAAGCTTTGGAACTAAATATAAGACACCTAAATAGCAGTGTTCTTTTCTAAGTAAGCATAGTAATTTATGTGTTATTACAGAAGGCTATAATTGGACTTAAAGGTTTTTTTTCTATCTGAAACTTTTTGTGACAGTCTTGAATAAGCTAGGATAAAACCTAGTCATAAAATGCATTAAATAATTAAAATCTTAATAAAGTATCTATGGAATTATAAATAAGTATTATTTTTTTTCTAACTCACATATGACAAACTGCATGCAAACACTTTAAGGGAACATATGGAAAGCTGGATACTTGTCTACATGTTATCTCCACACTAATTAAAATATAGAACCCATCTTCCCAAATGATGCTTTTATAGTTCTAGGGTCTCTTGACAGCAGTTAAGCCATCCTAACCCTAGATGTTGGTGATATGATTTCTCTCTTTATGGATGATGTTGTCTGTCCAGAGCTTCATAAAAACAGAACCATATTATATTCTATACATGATTTCATGATTGGCATCTGTTACTCAGTGTGCTTCAGAGACTACTCCATGATGTTGGGAATCATAGCTTGGTCCTTCATATCATGGGTAGCATCATCCTTTCTAAATGAATATGGTAGACTATGGATACTACTTAGATTCCTAGTGTGGTTACTCCTAACAAGGCTACTGTGAGTGCTATTGTTTTCCTTTCTATTGGATAAATGCACAGAGGTATAATTTTGCTGAGCTATAACATAGGTGCCTATTTAACATAAGAAATCATCAAACTCTTTTCTAAAGACACCATCACATTATTGATCCCAACAGCACTTTTCTTTTCAGAAGAGCATTCTAGTTTCTCCACATATACTGTCACCAAATCTTGGTGTTTTCTTATTTTGTAACTTTAGTCATCATAGTAATAATATAGCAATCACACAACTGCCTCTTTCCTCTCATTATTATAACTTATATTCTCTTATTTTCAGGTTTGTCTAATGGCCTTATTGATCATTGTGTCTCTTGTATAGTATCAGTTCAATATTATGTATTTTTACTTTTCTATTATTGAACTGATTCCTCTACACACACACACACACACACACACACACACACACACACACACACACACACACACATTCTGGACACAAGATTTGCTGTATTCCAGGCTCAGCTGGGTCCCAAACAGAAGCAGCAAAAAGGTGGTTACAGCCAGTTCCCAGATTGAGTATAAGGTCTAGCCAGTGGTATGCTGGAAACTCATAACATCAAAAGAAACAGATTGTTTTAGTGCATCAAAAAAGAAAACATATATTATTCTCTTATATGTGTGTGCTAGCTTTTACCTTTCAATTGGCATACTACAACCCATATAACCACAGAGATTAGGCATAGAATAAGGGGCTAGGGGGAGGGAAACATTTCCCAAAGAAGGGGACGTGACAATGTAGTTATGGAGAGATGAGGGAAACTGGAGAGGAAAGATTAAATTGGAAGAGGAAGGAAAGAGGATAAAGAAGAGTATATGGGGAAGGACAATCACCATCAGGGTCATTTGAGGGGTCATATGAAAAGCTACTACTACTGCAAAAGCTTCTTACAATACATCCATGTATGAAAGAGTGTACACGGAATCACCAAAGAGCAGGGAAGATAATGCTACAACTACAAAACCGCACAGCTTTTGCCACCAAATAATACCTCTAGTTCCAGAAATAGACTTCTAGTTGAGTTATAGGCCAAAGGGTCCCCTTGGACATCCTTCATCAGCTCAGCTATTGACAAATTATTGTTTCCTCTCCACCAGCTGATAGTGAGGCCCTGCTGCTGCAGACAGTACTTAACATGTCTCATTGAACATACAGAAGTAGATCTGGTGCCTAACTAGAGTCTTAACTCTGATTGACTAGATTTCATAGTTCTGGAAGTTACCAGAAGAGAAAGACAACCACTAGGCCAGCTACAAACCCTGCAATCTATAACAGTGGCATGCCTGTGTGAAATGTTGGTGCAATGCTGGCACAAATATTGTGGTAGTAACCAATCCCTTTTTGATTGGATTTAAGGCTCATTTTATGAGATGTTACCTATGCCTAACACTCCCCAAGTGGCCAAATAATCAGCCTAGATAGGCCATAGGGAAAACCAAATATTATTGTTGTGGTAAAGGAACACAGCAATAAAATGACTCCTAACAATATTCTGCTATATCTATAGGCCAGTGTCTCACTTAACAATCATCAGAGAAGCTTCCTCATGCAGTACATGGGAACTAACACAGACCAAAAATTGGCAATGTGCAGAGAGTGAGAGACTTTGTGTCACTCAGTCCTAAATGAGATGTCTTCATCAATCCTCTCCTTTCAGGGCTCAGGGAGCTATACAGAAAAGGAGATGGGAAGATTTTGAGAGTTAATGGGGATGGATGACACCAAGGAAACTGTCTTCCAAATACAACAGAACTGACACACATCAGCACTCACAGAGACTGTGGTAAGCATGCATCCAAGGAGGCATGGACAAGACCTGCACAGCCAGACAGGGTCCCAGTTCTGGGAGGGGAAGTGGACAGGAGTTCCAATCTCTAACCAAGAAGCTATCTCCACAGCCAAACAGAGTCCCAGTTCTGGGAGGGGAAGTGGACAGGAGTTCCAGTCTCTAACCAAGAATCTATCTCCAATTGACAACCAATCATAACAGAAAAAGTAGTCTTTTCCAATGGAGTCTCACTGGATATATACACTTAAAGGCAGGCCCCACACTCAGCAGTAGATGGCCAACATGAAACAAACCCAACAGTATTTTTGTAGACTATTTTTCCTCCTATTTCTTTCTATGGAAATTTTTTGTCTTAGTGGTCTTTTGCTTGTATATTATGATTTCTGATTTTGGCTTTTATGTTTTATTCACTGTGTGTGTTTCTTATGCTTTTTTTGTTTATTTGCTTGGAAGATCGAGAGAGAGAGAGAGAGAGGGGGAGAGAGAGAGAGAGAGAGAGAGAGA